CAGATATAGAGAGTACAGAGGAGTCAACGGGTGGTGATTCAAAACCTGCCTCGGGAGATTCTGCTAAAGAGACAAGTCTCATCAACACTGGAATTGATCTCCCATCAGAGGTTCAACCTGAACCAAACGAGAAAACCGATGACATTGAAATGTCCGAGAAAGAAGCTGATCCGGTTAATCTTCCCAATAGTACTGACGGTTTGGAGAAAACAGCTGGCAATGAGGATTTAGAAGTAAAGTTGTCCAGCGAAGAACATAACCAGACAAGCATGACTGCTAATGATTTACTTAGCTTATGCAGGTTTGGAAACGTTCCCACAAGAACACGTTCTTCACTGACAAACAGAGATTTGAAGGTTTGTCATGATTCTGTTACTGTAGATGAGAATGCTCATGAGGGCGGGCTCCCTAAGGAAACTGAAGTGCATTCCCAAGACATCCCTGTGGATGTGAAAAGCCTCAATTCTGATAAATTGAAAGCGCCGTCCACGGAGGAAGAATCATGTCTTACTTATGCCATTAAGCAGTTGAACGAGACAAGTTCCTCATCCTTTCGTGAAAGTACATTAATGAAGAAGGAAGAGAAATTAGAGGGGCTAACTGAAATTGAAAGTGGCAGTTCTATAACCACGGGAAGAGGTGAGAAAAGAGAGTTGGATGACGATGACAATTGTAAGGGCGGAACTAAGAGACCTAGAGAATTGGCTTCATTAAAAAGTGCTTTCTCAGATGACTTTCTGTACTGTTCTAATTCAGTGGAAAAACAGCTGACTTCACAGGAACCAAGGACATCACACGGAGAGCCAGTAATGTTTCTGTCTGAGGAGAAGAGATTGGTAGACATCTCTATGATACCCGAGGGTGATGTGAGGCTAGGCAGTGACTTCACGGAAAAGCAACTTTTGCCGGCTTCCTTTAAGACTTTTGATCTCAATCTTATGGAAACTTCTGATGTGAATGAACATCATGATGCCAATTCTGTTCATATCTTCCCTGTGATTGCTGAAGGTGTAAAACAAGAAGCACCGGTTGATATGCATCTGACCATGAGTAGTAACTCTAATGCAAGTAAATATGCTAAATCTGGCTTTGATGGGAGAGACGTTGAGGTGATTGATTTGGAAAATGATTCTGAACAAGAAGAGAAGGCTTTCAGTAATCCAGAGAGAAGGTTAGAGTACACCTCCAATTTACTTATCTTTTTTTTAAAAACTTTTTCTTTTGTTCAGTTCATTTGTTGAATTAGTTATTGATTCCATCTTCATGTTGATTTAACTGCTTTTGTTATTATCATTTTAAAAAAAAAAAATCCCATAAGATGGTTGTTGCCTTTTACACAGGTCTGAAGTTGTATTCAGTGGAACAGATGGTTTTTCTAATAATGCGCATAGTACCAACAATATACCCAATGCTCAGGACGGTTATGGACTTATGATTTCGGAATTACTTGGGAATGATATAGCAAACTGTTCTTCTCTACCAGAAGATATGAATTCT